CTTGGTTTTTTTATTTGGAAAACTGATTCGATGGTTTTCACATTTAAAAGAGACAGCTTTGAATATGCTCTCTTTAACGCAACTTTTGAGGATTCGTAAAGACAATGGTCAACGATCAATGCCGCTCATCTAACGAAGCAATAATTACTCGAGTCGAAAGAGCTCTCTCCCTCAGTTCTGAACGGCTGAGAGCAGTTCTACGAAACTGAGAAACCACCAAGTACGAATTCAGGAAGGAACCACCACCAAAATTAATCCACGAAACACGGTGATGGTTGCTTTCCGTTATTCCTCTGAACGGAAGACGACTCTGGGGACTCTACTCTGCTTTATTATACAAATTACCCACCTTGACAACGTCTCGTATAATTCGAAAGGTTAGTAAATCATACAATAAGATTCATATTCAAGGTTTCACAATTGTACATATAAAATCAGAGGTAATACTGATTCCATTGCACAGCGTCAAGTCGACGTACGTCACGCACTATAACAGTAACATCGACGGGGTATAATAATTTAACTCTGCCACGGGAATCGACGCAGACTTTCGTGTGCAAGTATGTAAGAGTTGCTTGTAAAGGTAAACAAACAAAGGGCATAGAGTTTGTACAGCTGCAAGGAACTGTAAACAAACAGGGAAAGACGGATCTGAATGCAAGTTAGACATGTTACATGGGAAATAACATTGAAAGTGAAAGAAATGGAACTCTGGTCGGTAATGAATCAAGCCTGATGATCGTACGTAATATAACGAAAGGCATAATGCTAATAAAGCTAAATGTTACCCATTGAGTTTTTGTTAATCCATGTCAACTGACGGACAGAGCTAACTGACAAGCGAGAAATTATAACTAAACCAGTCGTATCGGAGTGGTTAATCTGTCACGGAGGTAAGCGATTAGATGATCCTGTTACCAATAACAAAGCAGCAGAAATAAGCAACCGGTCTAGCTTCTCGTTTTATGATACCACTCGGTGTAGTAAATTTTCGATCATTTGGTTAACTGTTAATCTATTATACATGTAATTTATAAATTATTTACGTAGATCTGGTTAATTTACTGTATATGTACAATAACGTATGAACAAATGATTCAGTCCGAAAGCAATCCTCACTTTAACGATGAAAAAGCGCTTCTTTCTTGAGGAGTTGTGACCAGCAAAGTTGGAAGTATCAGGAATTCTTTGCCAGCTAACAGGCTTTCAGAGTTCAAAACACAGCAAAACAAATATCGTAAAACAACCGCACGAGAAACGATTTACTGAAATCATAAAAAGCATTTCAACATGCAGTATTGACGACGAGTCGCACCTTCTTGCCATCGAGTAGAAATTTAGAACTGTTTGAAACATGACGTTCAACAATGTTATAAACAACATCTTTAGGGATTGCTTCATCGTCTTGACAGGGAATTGCCGAATAGACCATCTTCTTCAATTTTTTGAACTTCATTTCATTGTTGGGCGCTTCGGCAAGAATTCGTTTAAGAATTGGCTTAATTTTAAGCTTCTTCCCATTTTTAGCCGGACTTTCAAACACTGTTTCTCCATCTTCGAAGACAGCCGACTTCATGCTGGCGGCAGTTTTCTTGGTTTTATCAGTACTTAGAAGAGCGAAACCGTTTTCACTCGCCTCCACCACTGGTTTAGAATCAGACACGACGGAGTCATTTGCTTTGCTATCGCAGTTTGGGTCGCTTTTGTTCGCATCATTCGAGTTGCCATTCGACTTGCTGGCGACGTCTGCGGACGAAATTGCGTCCCAAAGCTGATCAATTAAGAGCGGATTGCGGATCCTCGACGAATTCAGCAGGAAATTCTTGAACTTTGCCTTCTTCCTTGGAATATTTGGAAAATCACGTAGTTGCTGCAACGCGTCAATCAATCGACTGTTGGATGACTCGGTCGAAGCGATGGCTCGCTGGACCTGTTCCGTCCACAACTGTTGTTTAAGGTCACCTTTGCTGGCTATCGACTCGTCACCCTTCATGTCGTACTTCTGCGCCTCTGATACGCATTTCGTGTGAGCCTGGTATTCTTGACCATTGAAGTCTTTGCCACAGTCCATGCAAGAAATTGTGTAGCTGCGACGGCATATTATTTTGTGTTTTTCTACAGACGCCTTCTTAACCGATTCCCCACAACCGTTGCACGTGAAAAATACCATCTCGGTAAATACTAAAGTAGTCAAAATTTATTGTATACAAAGAACACAGTTTACGCACGAGCGAACATAACATGGTTACGAAAAATAGAACTAAGCAAATTAAAAAATAAAAAAATTCAATTCAGAAAATATTTCAAATTAATCAAAATACAGTAATACCCGGACTAATACGAACTCGAAGTACCCGGTTCTTGATTTTTTCGTTTGGCAACACTGCCGCCCGCTATTTTCAGTGCTTCTCTTGCAGTGAAACGCATTGGATGCGTTTCGCGCGAACTCGACGTGCACAGTTACGATTCTACGATCGACGAAAGTTAAGACTGTTTTGTTATACGCTTTCCGAACACTCAAAAAACTGTCGTCCAAACGAAATAAACTGATTCTCCTGCGCCTAGTAAGAAAAGGTAAACGATATCTTTGGAATGTAAGCTTAACATTATCAAGGATTTTGATAGCAGAGTGAAAATTTTTGAATTGGCAAATAAGTCTGAGCTACCGAAATCCACGGTAAGAACAATCATAAAAGATCACAAAACAAAGAATCTCGATAGAGTAAAAAAATGCTAACTCCTTGAACTCAAGCATAATTAGTAAACGTCACAGTACTATTGCTGAGATAGAAACAATGCTGAAATTATGGTCTGATAATCAAGTAAAAGTGAACAATTGTCCTGTCGACCAGAACACCGCGTGCAATCAAGCCAAGCTGACTTATGAAAGG